GAGAAAAACAACTTTTTCCACAAAGGCACGGGTTTCAACTGTGAATTTTTCGAGTTTTGACAAGACAAAGGTTTTTTCCTGAGGTCGGCCTGTTAGTTTAGCTCGTAGCTTAGCTTCTCAGCTTAGCTACTTTTAACAATTCAAAAACACGATTTTGGACGGTTAAAACGGATTTTAAAGAAAAAAGAGAAAGGGCGGGGTCAGTGAAGAGCTTTTGTCATCCAGTGTCTTCAGTAGAAAGAGAGAGACACGAAGAAACGATAAAGCCGATAAATGAAAATGAGGTCGATAATTTTCATTTATCATGCGATTAATTGATTTATTGTTTATTGTGACAGGCCTAATTATGGTGTTATTTATATCTGTAACATATTTGTAATTTTGCAGTCTGATTCTTTAGGTGGTTAATCTAAATAATAATACATGAGCAAGCTGTCTAATTTAAGTGTATAACATAAGTTAAAGCACAGACCCAAGACTGATGTTAATGGAAAAGTGTTTCAATGGTCAGGATAGGATCCAAGTGCCAGCTTTGCTCTTCTTGTGGTTTGTCGTTTTACCAAAGTGGAGACATTTAAAGCAACCCCACCCATGTAAAGATGAGTACCACATCAAACGCCAGCCTGTGGTGTGGTCAGAGCACCACAAATAGAACCTGAAGAGGCCTGCAGCCTGCTGCAACATGTAAGCTGTGCGGGGCTATAGTGAAAAGACTAGAAAGAACCATATTCTGATCTTGAGTAGGTTTCAGAATGATTACAGGAAGGTATTTCTATACACTGTGCATTTATATGTCTCTGCATGTGTTTATATCATGAGCCAGAGACACGAAAGTGACCGAACCTCGATAATGTCAGCTTTTCTCAGGCTCAAATACAATGCCACCTACTCTGAATGACTACTCACACACAAGAGATAAACAATAGATCAGCAGACAAAAATGGCCGGCTTCTCCTCTGCACTTCCTGAACAAACAATACAGCCCACTGGTTGATCCACGCCCCTCAAGGCTCTGAGCTAACAGCAGAGGGAACCACTGCCTTTACTTCCTGTGTCGTAGCCACTTCCTGTTAAAGGGTTTCGAACGATAGGAACTTCCTGTCTGGGGCTGCAAGACAAGAGTGGCAAGGAGCACAGCAGAGACTTAAAACAAGAATGTTATACAATGACAACAAGCTGAAACATGGAGATCTGTGGAACTGATCTTAAAAAAAAACCTAATGTATTCAGACCTTCCAACATTTTTCAGTCAGGTCGTCTGGACAGTTTCTTTTTTTTTTTTTGCCGAAACGTTTCGCCTTCGATCCAGAAGGCTTCATCAGTCAAGGGAACACACAACAAAACTGATTCTTCCTCCAACAGCTTACTCCAAAGTGGAACAAACCAGTTCAGCTTGTGATAAGATGGTCTCTTTGGTACGCCCCCTCCTCCATTGCCGGCCCTCTTCCTTGTTGACAGTCTTGTCAAACTGGTTGAAAACAACAAAGTCCATGCTCAATAATTGTATATAAATAATAATAAATGTAAATATTGAGCATGGACTTTGTTATTCAGACCTTATTTAGCTTTAAGTTGCTTATAAATGTGCAACTAATTTACCTAATCAGATTTTTTATTTATTGCTTTTAGACAGCTGTTGGTGAGTTTGCCTCATTGTGTAAGCGTCATGTATTAAAAATAGTTAAGATAACTACAGTTCACTGAAATGTCTATTATTAAACACAAAGCTGCTCAGGTTTGTAACCTCATTTGAAACATTTCTTAACCAGAGGTCAGACATCCTACTCATGCATATTTATAACGCAGACCCGTCAAGCCGAAAAAGAGGAAGGACATTTGAACAAAAAAGCTTTAATGTCTTGCAGAAGAATATGGAGACGTACAACGGGTAACTAACTACACCAGAGGATCAACCAGTTGGACCAGTTCATAAGTAAAATCACTTGTTTAGAGTTAGTGGGCTGTTCTGCAAAATTAAGCCTTATACAGTATGTTCAGACCATATAGGCTCTTTAACCTGTACATTACACTCAACACAAACTAAGGCAATTAATAGAACAAGAAAGACTGGAACAATGTTTTAAAGTAGGACAGCAACTTTTCCAAATGGTCCCAAGATGGAGATGTACAATGTGCCAGCAAAAGAGCCCAAAGTTAGAATACAGAACCACAAATGATGAGCTCATCTCCCCAAAATGTGATCCAGGCCATAAGACCTCAACTACAGCAAGAAACACACACAGACACACACTCAGAAGAGCACATTTTCTACCATTTGTAATCTGATCAGTCTCCACAACAACAAAAAAACTAAAATCCTTCTTTTTAAAGTAAAACACTCCTTTAGCAAAACATTTCTACAAACAACATTTTGTACTGTGTATTGAATGTCTTCACGGGAATTTGTCAAGAACGAACCAGAAAAAGTTGACAATGTGTGTGGAAAAACTAAACTGCAGAGATTTGATCTGTAAAGTAACATTTGTTTCACGTCAGCCACCTTATGCTGCAACAGCAACGTTTCACATCAGCTCACAAAAAGAGTATTTGCAAGTATAAACTGCAAGAGACTGCTAATGTTTCAGCCTTTTTTTTTTTTTTTTTAGTAAAACACAAGACAAGAGGAAATAAAAAGCCATTCAATGACTGGGTTCAGATGTAATCAAATTTATTATTGACCAGGTCAGCAAAGTCCAAACTCATATGTATTCCTGCCTGACCACTCAACCACAGCTCTGAACTGGGCTGACACACTTACAGTGTAGTACAAAACAAAGAGAGCGAGCAAAGTTTGCCCTAGGGACCAGACATGTGCTGATGGAGAGGGAACATTTTTTACTCTACTGCATTCCCCTTCACTCCTCAATCTGTCTGCAACCAAAACCTGACACACACATCAGCAGACGAGAGCTGCACTTAAAAACATGCATCAGAAAGCAGCAGCACTCACACCATGAATAAACACCATGACTGAATGCTATGGTCGTTATCCAAGATTCACTGATGAAATTTAAACTCACAGCTTGCAGCCTTCTCCATAACGTTTCAAGTAGGAGGCTAATGGCTGGAGGAGGAGGCTGGAGAAATTTCCCAACATAAACATTGCACGTTGACATTCTGTGCGGTGAAAATGTTGGTGAATTCAGACTGTTTAAACACTGATCACTGGGGAAAACCAGCTTCACAGGCATGAAAAGAGTTATGAAGTCATAATCAATGAATCATTGTAGAATGAGAAGATAAATATTTTTAAGAATCTAGTAAAGAATTATTCCAAAACAAGTTTATCTTAATTCTATATCTTGTAGTAGTCCATGAGCAAAATATCCCACCTGAAGCTCAAAAGCTTCACTTTATTTGCTGTAACTGGACAAGATCATGAAATCTGACAACGCCTCATGTTGTGTACGTTTAAATAGGATGATTTTAACCCTTTAACTTTATGACCATTCATGATCCTTATGGGAAAAATCCACCACCTTATTTTAACTGCTTAAAAATACTATTTTATAAATATTTTTTCCATAAAAAAACAGTCAGTCTTTTACAGCTGTCTCAGCTCGAAATAAAAATGTAAATTTAAATGACTTTTTTCTTTTATTTTAACTCTTTAAGAATTTTTTTGTAAAAAAAAAACAAAAAAAAACCACATTTCAGAAAAAAAAAAAAAGAATCACAAAATATTTATTTTATTTATTTAGTCGGCTAATATAAAAATCAAAAGTTTAATTAAAAAAAAAGACGTTTCACTCATTCGCCACAGTGTTACCTTACTCCTTAGAATCCAAGACACGTGGAAAGTATGTTCATTCTGTGTGTAAAACTATGCAAATATTGACCAAGATCAAAGTAGGGCTGGTTTACATGGTAAACAACAAATGTTGGTACTGGTCCAAACACAGTGAGGTGTACTGTACCTTATTCACTGAGTGAAAACGAGAAGATGGGAGTCCATGGTGAAACTGGGCGTTTTTGGATTATTTTTGATTTAACATTCATATTTCACCCTTAAAATTGTTTGTGTCATCATAATTAGCAGCACTAAGCACCACGAGAATGCCAAGTGATAGTTTGAAAATATGTCCTAAAATCAAATTTATCTTGTATTATTGTCACTCAAACTCATTTCTAAGTAAATAAAAACATTTTTTACCCAAAATGGGGAAAAACAAAGTTTTTCTAGTGCTCTTTTATTTCTTATTACTACTCTTTCTGCCCATCAGAAAGACAATTATTAAGTCAGCAAGTTGAATGTGTCAGTTTTTGTACTTTTGGCCTGTCAGCAGCTGCAGCCAGCGAGTCCATACAAGAATGTAATTTCTCACAGAAGAGAAAGCAGGAAGAAATGCAGTCACCTGACCGAAACAGCCACAAATAATTATCACTGTCAGAAAGTAAGATTGTAAACAGCAGAGGAAACATCAGTTTGTTCCATAAAAAGTAAATAAAACAAGACAAGTTCACAAACTAATTTAGTTTAGATTCTCAGTATTTTCATCAGCGAATGCTAAATTACCAGAAAAGGCAAAATAGTAACTTCCTCGTTTGTTTTTAAATGTCTTCTTTCTGCCTAGACTACAGTCATTATGTTAAAGATTCCTTTAACATTTACATTATTTATCATCTCAAACAAAATGTGCAAGTTAGCTTAGAGCAGTCACCATGCTGAGATGCTGGATGTAGCAATAAGAGTCACTTTTAAGGAAGCAATCTTATAACCAGATACATCTTTAAACACACACACACAAAAAAACCCACAAGTAGCAAAGTAATAATTGTGATATGAAGCCAGGGCACAAAAAAAGGCACGAACAAGCATCTTTGAGCAAATTATTTCTCTTTAGTTAAGTGCAGAGGAAAAAGGCTAACGATGTAATAAATTCTTTATGTGCTCTCTTGCAGCATACTTTTACTAAACAAATACCAGTATTGGTTTTCTACCAGAGTGTACCCAACTACCACTAATCTTGTTCTCCAAACCACACATGTTTGCATCTTACCTCTAAGACGGGTCCAGCCCCTAGAATGGTCCTCTCCACCCCGCTGGCATAGCCCTTCTGGCTGAGTGCTGTCAAACAGTGGATCAGGAAGTTGGTACTCTGGGTCTTGCCCGAGCCGCTCTCCCCAGAGATGACAATGCACTGGTTGACCCTTTTCCTGAGCATTGCATAGTAGGCCACATCTGCAATAGCGAAAATATGAGGCTCCAGTTTGCCCAGCTGGTGGTTCTCATACATCTTGACGTATTTCGGGTTGTAGATGGGCAGGAACTTAAAGGGGTTGATGGCGATCAGGATGCTGCCTGCATAGGTGTAAATTTTTTTCTTGTGGAAGCGCGTGCGTAGATTGTTTAATATGCTGTCCTCACTGAGGACGGGGAGGTTGCAGAGGTCTGCAAAATCATCCTGGGGAGGGGGAAGGAAGCCCCTGTCAGCGAGCCGTTGTACCTCTTGATCCTTGGACAAAGGTGGGAGGTGGACATATTGGATAGATCCATCACGATTCCGCTCCTGAATGAAATCAAGAAAAACGTCATAATTGCGTACAGATGAGCAAATAATTTGAGTGCCTAAGATTTCTTAAAGAAAACAAAATAATTGAATGCAGGTCTTTTCCCACAAATGCTGGTTACTCATATTACGCAAGAAAATTACATACTATGTTATTGTACTTGCATGTTATTTGTAATTGGCAATATTTTCATTATTGCTTTGCAGTTTGTTATCTAAGCTTGATTACTTGTTTAGCTTTTCACTGACAAAGTAAAAACGATAAAAGAAAACAGAAGGAAGAGCAAGACAATAATCAAACAACAAGAGGACTTTTCTCACAGAACCATGTTCATCAAATCTGACTACCGGTACAATGCAACCAGTCAACTTTACCTGTAGTAAAAAGTAAAAGCCCAGGCTACGAGGATGTTGTTCTTGGGCTTTTCGAGGCCAAAGCAGAAACCTCTGTACCGGCAAGTCTCCAGCTTCCAGCACCCACTCCTCTCCACCACATTCCTTCACCTCTGCCAGCACATACAGGCGGCTGGGGTCTAGCCTCAGAGTCGCAGCAGCATCTGAGATCACAGAGGCCGCTGTTGCATCCTTCTGCACCCTGATGGGCGAAAAAAACAATATAATTTCATTAGAAAACTCTGCTTCACATATCACTTTAATTTAAATTGTCAGTGAAATTAAATAATTCAGCAGCTAAATTGTTAAATCTACATTCTACAGCTGTGACATTGTGGAGAACTCACATGAGGGTGCAGTAGGTGGAGGTCGGGGAAACCAGTCGGGGGTAGATCTGAAGCATGTATGTGCGGTCATCATGATTAGGGCTAGAGAGCCCACCTCCCCCCACTCCTCCTCCACCTGCATTTGTTGCCATGGTGGCAGCGCCATCCCTGACACTCATCCTGAGCAAGGGGGAGTGGCCTCAGCATGCCGCACAGCCACCGCCTGTCTCACCACGCAGCACCTGAGGACGATAGATGAACAGATCCGCAACAACCAGGTTTACTCTTAGAAAGCTCCAATGATGCCTCAAGACAAATCTCTGACAACCACTATTCTTATTTTATAAAAACAAAACATTCTAGTCGTGTAAAACTTGTAGAAAGACACTAAAAAGTACTTGATAAGGACTGACCATCAATATAAAAGATAAACATAAAAAAAAAACTACAAATATGCAGAAAACCAAGCTGTTGTAGTAGCAGAGGTCCAAACTGTTTAGAAAAAAAGCCAAACAAGAGGATAATGGAAGAAAGGCCTTAACGTAATGAATGGGAAAGAAACTCTCGTAATACCTGCATCCTGCCACGCTGTCTACTTCTAGAAACCTCTGTCTTTGTAATCAGTGGTTAAGTTAAAAGGATGTTATTGATGCAGATGTGTCTACACAGTGAGCACAGAACCATAGCACAAAACAGCAGTGAGGCCTAAATGATCTCCAAATGACAACTCAACCTCTTATATTTAAGTGAATAAACATGAAAAACAAGTTTAAAACAAAAAAACAAACTCAACAATAAAAACTGTTGTCAACACAGTACAAAAAGTAAAATGAACTTAACCAAGTCCAAATTTTGATTTGATTGAGCCAAGGACATAAATGCAACACCTTTTATTTCGCATTTGTCCCGTGGTCAAAAAAAAAAAGCTTTAACCTCGAGAGCAAATCAAACAAAGTAAAAATACTGTATTTCCATTTCCACTAAATGAAAAAGCAAGCAGCTCTTAGATGACACACTGTTAAGGATCATACGTAAATGGCTTTGCTACTGAAACTTAACTGTATGTTGCAGCTTCAAATGTTGCAGAGAAATTCAACCCTTCCACTTTGTGATGTCAACACCACCACTTGGGTTAAACCACAAATTGTGTATTGACTGCACACTATTCACTCTAACAACACACACACACACACACACACACACACACACACACACACACACACACACACACACACACACACACACTTACAGTGATGTATGACTGTTGAACTCAGTGACAAGATGAAGTAAGTTCAGTCTCTGCACTATCTCGTATCTACATCCACCTATTTATCATGCCAATGAGGTTATAATACCAAAGCTCATGTTTCTAATTAATATTTACCAGGTTTTATTATGATATACGAAACAATATGCATTAAGGACAAAACATCTTGGTAATGAGTTACACTAAATGCATATTTCAGAAATTCTTTAAAATGTCATGTGACTGAAAACCCCTTTTTTTCCAGAATGAAATAAACAAGTCAAGGAATGAAGGTTTGTTTAAACTTTGGTTCAAAATCCAAAGAAAAGTAAAAAAGTTTTACCAAGCTTTATTTTAATCCTGAAAATGACTTTATCAAATAAATCTGATCATTCACAACTGTTTCTCTTCACTCGTCTTTAACCTTTTGTTAAAGTCTGCAGCCTACAGTGAAAAGGATCCAGAGTATTTCACAACACCACAGCATTTAAATTTGTACAAGCTCCCTGTAAAGCACATCTAAAATACACACGTGTCAGATGCAGTATGGTTACTTTGACACAAAAGTATGGTGACAGATTTACAGACGTCAGTGCTGAGCAGAACCCCTCGTCATGATTACCAGTTCATTTCCAAGTCCCATCTAGCAGCACAGGAACAGAGCTGAAGTATTTAAGAAGTGATTTAGACCCTGTTCAAACTAACACAGATAATCTGAATACAAAAATTAAAAAACTAGCCAGTGTAGACTTAAAACTAAGATTTTTTTTGGGTGGAAAAATGACATTGAAGACTATGCATGTAATATGTAATACCAGATCTCGACCTTCACCTCTCTAAACAACTGCTATGTTCATGGCAAAAACCAACGCAGACATGTTCTTGTTTTTAGTATTTTACATTGCTTTATAATGTATCTGTTTTTGTTTTGTTTTTATTTTTTATATAATATTCTTCCATTTAATTTTCATTTGATGTTTTTAATGATTATCTACTGTTGTCATCTGTGTTCATTGTTAAAAACAGGTCTCTCTTGTAAATGAATGCTCGAGGCTCAATGAGACTAACCTGTATAAATAAAGGTTGAGTTGAATGTACATTTCTGTTTTGAGTACTGCATGGGCTAGTATAAAAAACAATTGAGTAGTTTTTTTTAACCTGTTTTTCTACATCTAATTCACTTTTTTGATTCTGTTGTCATTTCATTTTGGCTACAAAAGGAAAAGACACTTAACGAGAAGAAATATCAGTATTAAATCAAATATTGCCCCCACATGTAAAAGCTACACCTGAACTAAAAAAAGTGAATTTAAAGGACTAAATCTTGGCTAAAGGAAAATCAAAGATGTGATCATTTTTTAATACTCAGTTTTTATGGATGAGAAAGTCTTTGTGGAAGTGTATGTATTAGCGAGTTAGTAATATATTTACAATTTATAGTATGTTAGCTGAATGTGTGAGGATGGGGAGGTATTGAGGATGTGCAAAGATATTTATATCAATTTGGAGGGTTATTTTAGAATTTGTAGAAAGGAAAATGTTTTGTATTTTTATTTTAGCAAGATTTTTAAATTGTTTGTATTTTAATGTATAGTCTTTATTATATGAATTTGAAGGTTGTAAGGTTGATTACATGAATATGTAGGCAGGAATATGTAGGTACTCTTACTGTATTTTGATTGATCAATTGTATGTATTTTAATGCGTAGAAATGCCCAACTAGGAACTGGAGTTGCAAATTAGCTATAGCTATATACTCTTTGTGCAACGCATCAGTCACAGACGTTCTGTTCTATGGTTGTGTGCATCATCCCTGTCAAAAAAAAACAACTAAAATAATAATAAATTGGTGAACATTATCAAAGAAAATGTTTTTGAAGAAACCTTAGATTTTTTTTTTTTTTTAATGTTTGTCTTATAAATTTACATGTTGTTGATGTCAGTGTTATTGATGATGCTTTATTTTCTTCTTTCAGCTTCTCCCTTCTTCAGGGGTCGCCACAGCGAACTAACTCGCACGAAGACTTGGCAATGGTTTGTACGTCAGATGCCCTTCCTGACGCGACCACAGACCACCAAGCCACCACAGTCCTCTGTGTGGAACAGAGAGCTGCTATATAGGGCACCTGGGGGAGCAGATAGGGGGGGTTAAGGGCCTTGCTCAAGGACCCAAAGTGAGATAAATGAGGATGGAAACAGGTGTGGGTGCTTCACCTTTCCCACCCACATTTTGTTATATTGTCGGTAAGGGGAGTTGAACCGGCAACCTTCCAATCACAAGCTCACCTTCTCTAACCTCTGAGCCACCACGCCACTATTGTTATTGTACTTTATTACTGCATTATAAGCATCTACAACTAATATTATATCCTAAGAAAATTAGGTTTACAAATGCTTATTGTGCTTCTACAAGGTAGTAACTTAGTCTGAAATGTTTAACGTAACAACTCTAAATGAAATAGATAGATGAACAGATTTGACTCACTATTTGGCAAGAAACTGGTAGTTTAGTCTCTCCCCTCCTTAATTAATGCATAATAAACAAGTATTAATGATTTATAAAGTGTTTATAGATGATTAGTAATGTATATATAAACTATTTATTAGCCATCTATAAGGGGAGCCTTATTGCAAAGTGGTACCAAAAAAGTATCTAACGTAGAGTAGTCTGGGAATTGGACCAATTTCCAGAGGATCATGCTAAAGAATTACAGTTCAAGTTGACGCAGTCTGTCACAACCTTAACAGACAGCAAGGACCTATACCGGTAGTTGTGGGTGAATTCAACAGACAGCAGCTGGGTGAGGTTTGATCTGATAAATAATCATGTTTCATGTTATGTAGAGTGTGAGCCCCCCTCTCGGGAAAACAAGAACCTATTTTAAATTGATGCTTGCTGGGCAGAGTGCACGGCTCTGGTAAACTGATCCTGGGTCAAGTCCTGCAATCACAGCAGCAGTTTATTACGTTTTGTCATTTAAGCAGTGGGTTTATAATTATTTATTATTATTATTTGTAAGACAAATACAAGTTTTCTTGGTAAAGATGCCCAAATTAAACAGGCAAAGTGAAAAGAGGAGTAGAGGTTAATCATTCTGACAAAAATTTGAATGGCACTTTTAAGATACTAATTAAATGAACCATTTAAAAATTAGCAATAAGTTGGTTAATAGCTTGAATAAGAGAAGATCTCATTTTAAAACATGTTTACAAAATGGAGACAAAAATGATTAACTGTCACATCCTGTCAGATCATGGGAACTTCTGAACAAGAATAATCACGAGATCTTAAACAGCAAAGCTTTTCTACAGAACTGGTTGCTAATGTATTTTATATATTTTTTTGTTTATCCCTTTGTATTGATTTACATACAATGCTAATTTTACAAAGATGAATAAGCATCTTCATTCAGTTCCTGAGTGTGCTGATTAGCAAAAACAATGACTACTGCACACCAAAATTAGTGCAAAAAGGAAACTGTGCAGCAAAGTTACTCTAGAACGATTTAAGTTGTAGAGCAGTGAAGAAAAACAGAGCGACTTGAAATTCATGGGTTTGCGTCTCTGCCAGGCAAGCTGACCACAGTCTCAAAAAACAAGCAAGCTTTTAAAATGCCAAGGCATGCAAAACTGCAGAGACCACAAAACAGCATCATCATTATGCTCCATCATGAGGATTGTCTGGTTTAAATTTGTCACTTTAACTCCAAAACTGCTCTCTCAAATACTTTCAAAGAGCATACATACAGCTGCCGTATCAGTGGGAAGATCCGTATATCTCAGTTTGTGCTGTAAAGAAAAATAGTGAGGGAAATCTGAAAAAGGCATACAGAAAAAGAACGACAGGGAAGTGATTTAAAGAGAAAGGTAAACATTTAAAAGTGAAATAGAAACAAGAGGTCTCAGAGGACGGTAACAAGAGGCAGAGGCTTT